AGAACATTTCCCCCCCCCTTTTTTTGTGAATTTGGAGCCCAGTTTTTGTGCCATCTCAGCTGACAGTTACAGAAGGACAGGGGTCATTTCGTAGAAAAAGAGGTGCAGGAGCTCATTAGCATAACTCATTAGCATACCTTATTTGTATATGCTACACCCCCTGACATCACCGGAAGTGTGTCAGAAGGCAACACCCACCGCTCAGGCTCCACTGGACTGTTTTGGATTGCTAGCTATTAGCAGATCTTTTCCTCGCAGAGAAGGGAGAGCTTGTACCTGAATAAAACTTGGTCTCAAAGGTGCCACTGGACTGTTTTGGACCGAAGGGGGCGGGGGGGGGCTCTGCAACTTACCTGGCTGCTTCTTGCTCTGACTGAGGGCTGCTGGGAGCAGGGGGCGGGGCTTGTTGCATGTGCCCGCCCCCTTGGCTCTTTACTGCCGGAGCTCCGCTCCTGTGCGCTCCCGCAGGAAATGACCCCTGCAGAAGGAGAACCTTGGGAAGGGTAAGGATGCCAACCCCCAGGTGGTGGCTGGAGTACGTACTCCCACTATTACAACTGGTCTCCAGACTACAGAGATCAATTGACTTAGAGAAAATGGCCGCTCTGGAAGGCGGACTCTATGGCATTAGACCCCATTGAAGTCCCTCCCCTCCCTTCCCCAAACCAAACCCTGCCCCCCTTGTGCTCCACCTCCAAAATCTTCAGACCTCTCCCAACCCAGAGCTGGAGACCCTCAGTAAGGGGTATCTGGAAAAGCCACATCAACAACAGATGGCTTTACAGGTTGCTGCTTCTCAGGGACTGAGAGCTGCACCATCCCGGGACCTACTTAGCAGCTTCCCAGAGACACACACGGAGTATTCCCTCTCATGGAGCTGCCTTGTACTGAATCAGACCATTAGTCCATGAAGGCCAGTATGGCCTACTCAGACTGGCAGTGGCTTTCCATGGTCTCACGTTGAGGTCTTTCACATCATCTACTGCCGAGCAATGCTCCCTCTAAGCTGTGGAGTCTTGTGAGCAAAAATTCTACTTTGTGAGCTACTGGCATTCAAGTTGTGAGCAGGCGATTTGGCTGCTGCATAAATCAGTTTGCTCTGGAGCCCTCCCTTCCTGAGCTGAGGCAACAAATGTGTGTGCCGGAGGCTAAAAAACTGTGAGCTAGCTCACCCTCACTCATCTTAGAGGGAACACTGCTGCCAAGTTCTTGTGACTGGAGATGCCAAGGACTGACCTTCTGCATGCAAGAGAGAGGCTCTGCCACAGAGCCACAGAGCCCCCTCCCTCTGTCTCTTGCCTGATTTGTCCATGCATTGCACAGTGGCCTCTGAGGCTCAAAATACTGCCCCCTGTGGTGCTGGAGTTCGCTTTTGCCAGAAAGCCTTAAGCCTGCTTGACCAGAAGAGAGCCCTTACTATCACGGACATGGACACAACTGAGATGCCATTCCCGTCCCGTACCTGTCTGCTCCTGTCGGAGCCTTTCTCTGGAAAGGGACACATGAAGAAAGAAGGTAAGATCCCTCATGATGCTGAAGGGCTGGGACTCTAAGATCCCCAGCTGTGTTTCAGAAAATGAGAGGCCATGAAAGGTCTTGGTCACCTGCACGCCTGTGGGAGCGGCCCGGGGACTGAACTGGAAGGAGCAGTTTCCTCCTGAACAGGTAGTCTGAGCGGCACCTGAGGCAAAGGACTGGAGTGGAGCAGATCCAGGCATCTGTGGTGATGGTAACTGAGAACAGTACTGGGGATGATGGGAATACAGTTGCTCCTCTTGTTTTCCATAATCTGTAGTGAGATCTCGTTCAGCAAAGGTGCCAGGTGAGTTCCTTCCTCTTCAGCTGTTTTTTTTTCTTCCTGATGGCACTCCTGCCTGCCAGTTGAATGCCAGGTGATGTTTTCCATTGTCAAAGGAGGAGAGCCACCAGGTTGCCTCACCTTTTGGGAAAGTGGTTTCTTTCAAGTCGAAGCTGTCACCTCTGCTGAAGTGGGTATAATGGAGATTTATCTCCTAGAATTTGGGAACGTTTTTGGGAGGTACGGGAGTAGGGACAGGAGTCAGAGAAAACAACTGTTAAGGTCTGTCTTCCCAGATGGTTGGGTAGACATGGCCTCTTAGATTTTCAAAGAGAAAGGCCAAACTGGCCCCAGGCTTACCCTGCAGGTATTGTCCACACTTGGAGGGTTCCCCTGGCTGCCAGCGTTGGAGACAGCAGAGGCTGCCCCCATAGCCAGAAAATGGCAGGTGCCTGGACTCCCACGAGACTTGGCTGGCATGGGGGCCATTACCCCCCTGCTGCTACCACTGGGGAGGGGGCTTGGAATTTTTTGAAATCAGCAATTGAATAGCGTTATATCAGGTTCTCTGAATTCCCGGCTTTCTTTCTTTCTTTCTTTCTTTCTTTCTTTCTTTCTTTCTTTCTTTCTTTCTTTCTTTCTTTCTTTCTTTCTTTCTTTTCTCTTTTTGTTGTTTAGTCGCACAGTCGAATTTGACTCTTCGTGACCCCATGGACCACATCACGCCAGGCCCTCCTGTCTTCCACCATCCTCCGGAGTTTGCTTAATTTCACGTTCGTTGCATCAATTTAACCATCTCATCCTTTGCCGTCCCCTTCTTCTTTGACCTTCAGTCTTTCCCAGCATCAGGGTCTTCTCCAGTGAGTGCTCCCTTCTCATTGGGTGGCCAAAGTATTTGAGCTTCAGTTTCATTATCTGGCCTTCCAGGGAACAGTCAGGGTTCGAAGCTGTCACCTCTGCTGAAGTGGGTATAATGGAGATTTATCTCCTAGAATTTGGGAACGTTTTTGGGAGGTACGGGAGTAGGGACAGGAGTCAGAGAAAACAACTGTTAGAGTCTGTCTTCCCAGATGGTTGGGTAGACATGGCCTCTTAGATTTTCAAAGAGAAAGGCCAAACTGGCCCCAGGCTTACCCTGCAGGTATTGTCCACACTTGGAGGGTTCCCCTGGCTGCCAGCGTTGGAGACAGCAGAGGCTGCCCCCATAGCCAGAAAATGGCAGGTGCCTGGACTCCCACGAGACTTGGCTGGCATGGGGGCCATTACCCCCCTGCTGCTACCACTGGGGAGGGGGCTTGGAATTTTTTGAAATCAGCAATTGAATAGCGTTATATCAGGTTCTCTGAATTCCCGGCTTTCGTTCTTTCTTTAAAGTCTCTTTTTGTTGTTTAGTCGCACAGTCGAATTTGACTCTTCGTGACCCCATGGACCACATCACGCCAGGCCCTCCTGTCTTCCACCATCCTCGTCCTCTGAAGTTTGCTCAATTTCATGTTCGTTGCATCGATGACACTGTCTAACCATCTCATCCTTTGCCGTCCCCGTCTTCTTTGACCTTCAGTCTTTCCCAGCATCAGGGTCTTCTCCAGGGAGTGCTCCCTTCTCATTGGGTGGCCAAAGTATTTGAGCTTCAGCTTCAGTATCTGGCCTTCCAGGGAACAGTCAGGGTTGATTTCTTTTAGGATTGACTGATTTGATCTCCTTGCAGTCCAAGGGACTCTCAAGAGTCTTCTCCAGCACCATAGTTCAAAAGAATCTATTCTTCGGCGCTCGGCCTTCCTTATAGTCCAACTCTCGCAGCCATACATGACTACTGGGAATACCATTGCCTTGACCATGCGGACCTTTGTTGGCAGGGTGATGTCTCTAGCCCCTTCTTTTGCAGAGATGTAAAGGAAAAGGCATATTTCCATAATGAAAAGGGGAACTGGGGATTCAGGAACTTGATATGTATGTTATACTGCTATACAGGTATAGTAATATTCAGTTGCCGATTAAAAAACAAAACAGTAAGCCCAAGCTCTCTGACGGTGGGGGGAGCAACTGGCCGCTATGGCAGGCAAGACATCCTGGAGTACAGGATCTTGCCTCCCATTTTCCGTCTGCAGGGTGGGGCTCCGTTGCCCCTGATGCCGGTTGTGGGGAGGGGCAATACCCTAATGGTAAGCATGGGGTCGGTTTCCTCTCTTTCCCTCCTTGCTCATGG